TATTTTTAATATTTCCAGATCCGTCAAAAAAGGGTATAAAACGACCAAAATTGGACAGAAAAACCAACAATCACTCGTTGGACTCAGAGTTGTAATCTCACATCGAAGTTTACTAGCAGAACAAACTTTACAACAGAAGGAATACCTTTACTGTGATTCTCACGATACAACTACAAAATGAAAAGTACAAAGGTAATTATCATATGGGCTCCAACCTTCTAATGATATTAGTTGTAACTATGCGATGCGTTGGATACTGTTTAACAGTTTGACTGATTTAAGAATATCTACAAAGGTTCACGTGCTTTGTTCTTCGATGGTTAGATTTAAACTTTTTTTAAAGAATTTGTTTATGATATACAGTTTTTCTCATTATGATTCCGGCTATGTTATGTTAAAAGCATCAAAATTATTTCTCTTTTAAATGAACTGTATCACTAATTTAAATAAAATGGTTCGGTAAAATGTTGTATTCCTTAACTAAGAATTGCTTGCCCAATGGTAATAAATTTGTCAAGTACCTTGCACAGTTCCAGTCACTGATAAAAAAAAATACAATTGTGTTTACCTTTTTGAAGACGATTGATGTATATATTACTATCACGTTCTACATATTCTAACCTTGTATTGTTACAAGTAAAATTACTTCATAGGTTGTGTTTTGTTTGACAATTAATCTATTTTCACTTTCCTTTACATTCGCTTCCAGAACACCAAGACGGTCGTCCTTTTCTTGGCTCTAATTGCTGCAAGTAGCTGTAATCCCGTGCCACTGACATGCATCCCTAACCAATCTCTCGCTCGGGCTGACCTGTATCCTAACAAAGCTGCTTTTGCCGTCCAATCCTTCACTCTGTCACCCATTGACATCGGTAGGAGTCAGACCTCTACGTGCTCCAACACCACCTTCAGCGGGATCTCAAGTAACGCCACCTGCCCATCGGGTACAGCTCCTGGTAGCACGTTGGTAGTCAACGAGAATGGCCTGTGTCCTTGGACCTACGTGGAGTGCTTCGATGCGGATCGCATCCCGATGGGTCTACAGGTGGCGCAGTGTCAGTGCAGCGGGTGCCTTGACCCCTACACCCACACCCCGAATCCGAACCTTCAGTGCACCCCTGTCAAGAGGAACATCAAGGTGTTGAAGAAGACCCAGTGCGCAGGAGGGATGTACAAGTACGAGGAACAGAATATTGCCGTCCCAGTGGCATGTGCCTGCATGCGACAGAGAGTGGCCTAATCGGGACTGATCCTAGAATTCCGAAGATGTTTCGAACAAAGACCTTCCCCAGGCACAACGACAAAAGACGGATCTTGATATTACAGTGGAATCGGTTTGGAGTCAGAATTGTGGTATGACCGTTGTATACAATGTTAAAACTCTTGATAGCTTAAAAAGAAATATATATGTGCTATCCGTTTTAGACTACGATTTTTGTATTCCATATTGTTATTTTAAGCAGTAAGTGAATCTTAAAAATAAAGTTTATTGATTTTGTTTTATATGGTAATAAATATGCTACGATATGGTATGATATAACATGAAATGATTAGATATGATAATCAAACGATATTTAGCCTTCATAAGGCCACGTTTACAAAAAAAATATATCAAGTTTGATAATGACAACTATAACGTACCTACTATGTGGGGACAATTAATTATGATGTATTCATAAAACGAGTACAGAATTGTCTGATATACAGTGTATATTTCTTTTCCCTTTTTCGGAAAATCCATGTTCATGAGCCTCGTTTGTATTGATGATGATGGTTTGATTAAATGGTTCTAGTTTCTATAAGTCCATTTATACTGTATTTGGAGTTTTGAGACTAATATTTTTCTCACATTTTACGTGTTTGATACGATATTGCATCGAAGCAAATAATGCAAAATGTAAGGTAGTAGTCGCTCAAACAATTACGCTAATTATAAGGGAGGGTGGAGGATTAAAGCACTTGTAACTTTTTAGTTCTCAAGGGTCTATAAGATAGAAGCCATGCTTTTTTAATAGACTCCTTCACTATGTTTCACCACTGCGCCAATCTTAAATGATTCATTTGCATAATGGTATAATAATTTGTCGTATCTTTGGTTAATATTATGTTATTTAATTTATATATATTGCATATTAATTTGATTATGATAAATATTTCTAAATAAAGAAACATTGAAACCTTGAATTATAGAAAACTGTACAATTTCAAATGGGGTGATTTTTTAAAAATAAAAATACGCTGTAGGGCAAGGACTGCAAAATAAAATGTTTTAACGTTGAGTTTACCAAATCGGAAACGTGTAGCTCTGAGCTTTTCGTGCCTAATTATTCGTTTAAGTCTCTATAATTTGAATTTTAATTCATGCTATATAAATTTCGTTTTAATACAAAAATACACTATACCATTGTATTAAACCTGGACAATTTCCAACTGCACGTTTCGTATAAGGGATATCTACAGGCATTATTGAAAATATGTTTTATTCATATCTATCTTTAAATTTGGTATCATGTATAAAGACGCAATAAAACCACTACTTATCCGTTGTTTAATGTCGAAATCATGTGTATATGTAGAAAAAATTCCAATGATCATTTCCACTGATCGTATAAAGAAATATTTTGTTGCTACCTCTTTACTTCTTTTCATTTCATTATTTTGCTCTATAAGTTTTATATTCATGCTTTCATTCGTCAAAATAAACAGTTTTGTGATCACCATATTAAATGTTAATTTGGTTCGATTTATCAATTAAGGATATTAAATAATAAAGTCTTATTTGCCAAAAAAACTACTTATAATGTGTGTAGCATTTTCATTCGGTCAGTTTTTACGTATTTCCACATTAATGAGGAAAATAGACTGTATGTAGCAAAGATTTCATTTATTTCAAATTATTTAAATTTATAAAATATTTAATGCATTTTATCAAACTAGTGATCTTTATTTTTAACCCATTCCTCATAGTATTTTCTTTTATACATTTTCCTCATTCCTTCCTTCCATGTGGATGCGCGTGTGTGTATGTGTGTGGTATGTGTGAGTCCTGAAATGCCCGTTAAACTTTCTCTTTCAGTTTAATCTAAGATTTCCATCTCTAAAATTTATCTTTTTGTTTATAGTCTATCTTCATTTTTTCCCTTTCCCGCCCCTCATTATTTTTATCTTCACCCCCCTATCTCTCTCTCTCTCTCTCTCTCTCTCTCTCTTTCTCTCTCTCTATATATGCCTCTCTCTCTCTCTCTCTCTCTCTCTCTGCCTTCCTCCATTTTCCTCTCTGTCTCTGTCCCTTTCTCTGCTTCTCTCTCTCTCTCTCTCCATCTCGCTCTCTCTCTGTCTCTCTTTCTCTCTCTCTCTCTCTCTGTCTGTTTATCTGCTTTTCTATCTCCCTCCCTCTTTCTCTCTCTCTCTATTTCTCTCTCTCTCTCTCTCTCTCTACCTCTCTTCCTCCCTCCCTCCCTCCCTCGCTCTCAAATTTCTTAACATGAATGCTTGTGTCATAAGCTTGCGAGCGGTAATTGTAATGTTCTCTTCGAAAAGAGGGTCAAGTCTATTACCCCTGACGGTGTTCAACCTTGCCCGTAACTGTCACCAATGGTTTTACTCATTATGTATCAAGTTCCGATCATTTCCTACGGGACAGACGACTGTGTCTCTCTTTCAGACAAAATGCAAATAACCTTTCTCTTCCATCAAGTCTTGCGATGATTTGTCATCAAAGAATTGCAAAGAATCTGCTCTGTCCCTTGATATGTTTGTATACTCTAATTTTGTTTTATTTGTAGTGTACTATAATTCCGCTTAATCATTTATCAAATCACTGAGAGATATATGTAAGTGTACATATTTATAAATTGATTGTCATTTTACGTCAACTATCAAATATGTAAACCAAATTATGCAGACTTTTTTTTCTATAGTTTCCTTTCGGTTGACACCCATGACAATAAACAACATGATAATGATTACAAAAACGGTACCTATAGAGTGCTTATATAGAGTGGTGAAGTGTGACGTCATCAAAAAATCTATTCCTAGAATTTCTCCATTTTCTTTTCATTTTGCTCTGGTTCATAACTTTACGAGCCAGAGCATTATAACACTGAGCTCCTATAGGACATCTTTTTATTCAGATGGTCATATCTCAGCCAATACTTAACATATTCAATTGGATTTCGACATTTTGATATTATTTTCCATGCTCTTTCGGAAAATTAAGAAATTCTAAAAAAAAAAAGAAGATTGTTATGATGTTACAGCTTCGGTACTCTATACCACCGCAGTCTTTAAGCGCTATACAAAAATACAATGATAAACAATCACATATTTATATAACTAAAAATTACAAATAAACCTACAAATTACAATACATATGAAAGAGAAATGATATATTCCTCAGTATGAGAACTCACAGATATATAAACAGCATCCTGCTGTCGATGCTCATAGGATCCACAGGGTATTAAGGATTTAGTCCATACTCAGCCGAGTCAATGCCTGGTGAAGGCCGTTGGGCGGAAACACTCCACTGCTTAATTCCGATAAGCGTCCGAAACACTTCGAGGAGGATTTCCAAGTCGTTCCTTTCCTTTCTTGGTTTGACACGCAAGCAAGTTTAAAAGTTCGAAAGTTTTTGGAGAACATTAAAGCTCATGTGTCGGATGAGCGTGGTGCGTCCCTCTTGGGAGTAATACTTATGTGGAGATTATGTGGCTCCGTTTTGATCGGAATGACGCAGATTGATTGAAAGTGAGAGTTGGTGGGATTCTTGGACGGTCGTTTCAGGCACTCTTCAGAGGCTAGCATACATCATCAAGTGTTCCATGGCCGAGCCGTCGACGGGTAACAAGAGACTCAGTGATGCCTCGTTGATAGTCTAAATTAAAGTGATTATCATGTTGGATTCTTTCTCAGGGGACATATGAGAACTACTTCAACTAAGTTTGGTATTTAATTTATACTTGATTGTTGGGAAAAAGATCACCTGAGGAAGTTTCATCATGGTTTTATTTATCTTTGGAATACTGACTATTGTCGGAGCTACTGCTCGTGCTATCGGTAAGATTTTTGCCTAGATCTTCTTCGATAACATAGACTTTCGAGAAATCAACTCACGGTCAATTTCAATTCCCCTATTGTACATCCCATAGAATTCGAAGTAATTCACAGTTATGTTAGCTCATTTTCAAACGTCAAATCAATATACCAGTTCACGGTTAGCACATGTCCCAAATGACCCCGAATTTGCGCAGATCTTCAAAACATGAAGAGGTTCCACTATGTACATTTTGAAATAATCACTCCTACAGCGATGGAGGTGCTACGGTGCTATGTTTGCCCCTTTTCAAAGCATACTCCACCTGTGTATCATGGAGTGCACTGCTTGTGCATAAATGAATAATTATCACATATATTTCATGAGCACGTATCCAGTATTTTGTCTCCGTGTATTTCACAGTTTGGTCTGCAATGACCTTTACCTGCTCATGCTCGGACTGCAACTTCGAACTGGTTTATTGCACCTGCCTAAAGTTGATTTTCAAAAGTATTTGATGTTGTGTTTTAGGCCACTAATGTTGTGTTTAACGTTTTAAAATGATAACTTAGTTAATCAGTTATTTTACCCCCACGACCATTAGTAGCAACATAACCCTTGTTGCCTGTAAAAAGTGCTATTTGAAATAACTCAAAAATCCCACAGATCTTTAGACATTTACCATTTTTACTATAACAGTACAAGATGTTTTCCAATTTATTTTGTTAACATATATCCATTTTGCGACCCCGAATATATTTACTATTGCATGAACGTACCGTGTACAAAGTACATACGATTTCAATAACGTAGTAAGTTATTGCGTGTGTTAGCACGTTCCCATATATACTATCCCGTACAATCAGAAAATATATCGCGATGCACGCTTACATCTACATATCCCAAGGAAACCAATTTCCTATCCTTTTCCTCAAACCCCCCTGACAAAATCAGGGATCCCTAAATTAGGAAATATTTAATAATAATATAGACCAGTCGGTGACCTACTTTCCCCTTTTGGACGAGGCTCTAATTTTAATTGGGAAAAATGCCAAGTTCGGTGTATTAACCGTGACAAGTCCTTCGATTAGGTAGAGGGCAGTGAAAGTATGGCTGTAACCAAGGCGAAATTCATACTCCTATAATCGTACGGGTAGGTCTGTCTTTAGAGACAGACATTTTTATATTGACTGATTAATATATAGTAATACTAGTGGTAGTTAATAGTATGAAAATGATATCGGTAGTAGTAGCAGAAGTAAAAGTAGTAATTCTGGTATTATTATAGTAGTGGCAGAAGGAGTAATAGTAACAATAGTAATAGTAGTATTCATGGTAGTGGTCGTATTAGTAGTAGTGGTAGTAGTAGAAGTAGTAGTAGTAGTAGTAGTAGTAGTAGTAGTAGTAGTAGTAGTAGTAGTAGTAGCAGTAGTAGTAGTAGTAGTAGTAGGAGTAGAAGAAGTAGTAATAGTAGTAGTAGTAGTAATAGTAGTAGTAGTAACAGTAGTAGTAGTAGTAGTAGTAGTAGTAGTAGTAGTAGTAGTAGTAGTAGTAGTAGTAGTAGTAGTTGTAGTAGTACTAGTAGTAGTAGTAGTAGTAGTAGTAGTAGTAGTAGTAGTAGTAGTAGTAGTAGTAGTAGAAGTAGTAGTAGTAGTACTAGTAGAAGTAGTAGTAGTAGTAGTAGTAGTAGTAGTAGTAGAAGTAGTAGTAGTAGTAGTAGTAGTAGTAGTAGTAGTTGTAGTAGTTGTAGTAGTAGTAGTAGTAGTGGTAGTAGTAGTTGTAGTAGTTGTAGTAGTTGTAGTAGAAGTAGTAGTAGTAGTAGTAGAAGTAGTAGTAGTAGTAGAAGTAGTAGTAGTCGTGATAGGAGGAGAAGGAGGGAGAGGAAGAGGAGGAATGTGTAAAGTCTCGTGATGGTACTAGATAAGTACCCATGGGCGCCTGCATGGGCGTACAGGTAAATTTTCGACAGGGGGCGGGGGGGGGGGCTCTCCAAAAGGCCAACTACATGTAACACACAACATTTGAACAAGCAAAAATGGACCCCTTTTTCCCCTACAAGCTCGTTATCGACCAGTTAAGCGAGATTATTCAAAGTTGAGAGACGTCCATATTCTCGAGGAGAGGAACTGCACCAACATTCCTTATCGTGCTCCTTTACATGTTGATATGTTGTATGTAAAGCCCCATATACATCCAGATATTATTATGGACAGCCTAATATACAAAGGATTCTGTCCTCTTCAACTCGTATAAATGATACAAAAGGCATATGTTACGGCTATCTTACCTATACCACAGTGACTCTCCGCTAGACAATTATGGATTAAAGGTTTTAAACCTGACAGATTCGTCAGTGCTGATCGACCAATAGTTACCCCCCTCCACCCAGTATGGGGAGGGTAATTATAGATTTCAGTCCTTCTCTGGCACAATGCAGGTACTCTTCATAAACTGCTTTCACCTTTTCACTTGTCATTTACCTTGGTGGACGTTTATCCATTTGATTGGCCACATCCAGGTGTCTTTGGAATATGCAGGAGTACTAAACACAACAAGCTATGTCTATGGTATAGTTTCCTCTATTTTATGATCGTGTGTGTCTGGTAGTTTCCAAGTTTTGTGTTTATATTAGTAGACAGTCTGCTCTTCTCCCTCGTTGAATAATGTTTCACTTTGTTGTCGTATTTAGTTTTGTTTTATTTACTTCTTTGTCCTTGTTTCAGTTTGTTATCTTGGACGGGGGGGGGTGTGATTTGATCACCTATGGTTAATTTCACCAAAAATGCCTGTCTGGTTTCCTTCATCATCATTACGTCTTTCATACTTGGTATGATCACTTACCTCTGAAAATTTAGCATTTAGCCAATAAATAATGTTTTCATGAAGATGTTCAAAGGGAAAAGCATATATATAAACCATTCAAGGGTGAAATTTCGAGCCAGTTACTTTGATACATGCCCTGTTCCAGTGGACAGTTTGATAAGTTTGAAATTACCACCACTATTAGCGTTCAAATATGTAGTACATGTAGTGATTAAGAATACAGTTTTTGCGTATTGTTGTAACAGTGTGTACATTAGCATTTTGTACGACAATATGACAAGGTTCCTTAAACGGTGTATTACGGTACAGGCAAGTGTGTTCAACGATACCACTTCCTCTCATATATTCTACTTTATTTTTGCTGTTGACTGTTCGGTTGTTGAGGTTGAGTTTAGTACTTTATCTTCTTTACCTTTTGATTTCTTTTTTATCAAGGGGTACTCACATTTTCCATTATTAACCAACCGGTGAAGGTCATTCACAATCAAAAGCAAAATTAAAAAGCCGACCGAAGATATACGTGAATTCTTAGCTGAATAATCGTGATGAATCAATAACGAAATGTTGGGCAGAGTATTAAGATTCATCCGATATTTGATAAAAACTACATAGATCTGTTAATTTGGTTGGATTTAACGGGAGGAGTTTTATTATCTCCGTGAATCACTTCGAGTGCTTGGTACTTAGTCATATTTGCGTTACATCAACAGATTCTAGTTGTCGCTAACATGTAAGGTTTATACCATTAATCTATTGTGGCCCCTGAGCTATAAAAATAGATTAAAGCCACAACGGTCTGTTCGGTTTTTAGGGGGCAAATTATGCCCCTTTTATGCTATCTATTCGAATAATCCAAAGAGGAGATGATTGGTATTCTTAAATTGGCTCTACTTTGTCATTGCTAGTGTCCTGGATTTGTGTGACTTCTGCAACATCCATATTCAAGTAGTAAAGTTGGTCATCATACCATAAATATACATTACATTACACTTGGGAGCTGTGTCCATAATAATCCATTAATTCTTACTTTCATAGCCATGACTTATTTTCATAAATGTCAGAAGACATAATGGCAATTGACGGACGTTCTCAAGATAAACGTTATGTTTAATGTGTTAGTTCCGTTAGTTAATCCCCTTCTATTTTTCCTCTTCCCCTTCTCTCTTCAATTATTCGGATTTCTCCTTTAAGTTATTCATCATTTTGGGGGGAGGGGGTATTTAATAGTCTTTGGGGTTCGGTCCTTTTAAACCGTAACGTTGAACGCGCAAACCAATCATTCGTGATAACGTGCGACGTACGCTTGTCTAAATTTATAATTTTGTTGTTGCTGTTCATGGTGTAGTTATTGTTGTTGTTTTCCTTTGTTTGTTTGTTTGCTTTTCATCACATTTTCGGTCGCCAATTATGTCGCGTACATTACAAATATCATGGAATATACTCTGTCATGAATATTGTTTAGAAATATCACAAAGTGAATCCATACACTTCCAAAATGCTTGTATACAAGGAGCCGGAAACACTCTTTGACATGTCATCAAAATATACCATAGCAACGAGTGAACCCTTCCCGATCACTTGGTTTAACCGGAACAGTTAATAGCTATCAGGCGATCGTGGGAAACCCAATAATATTTTGTTGAAAGAAATGTATTATGATATAAGCCTGTAACAACTCATGGAGCTTATACAAAATATATTTGTTTTCCAAACACATTTGTATACATTATTTGTGTTACTCTGCTCGTTTGCGCTTTTTTTCCTTTGCCTACAGTTCTCTGTATCCGAACATATGAAGTTATTTCCAGACAAAGTTCAGAAATAACAACAAAGTTGTGATAACGTATGTTATCAAATCATTTTGTCTTTCTTCTCTTGGTTGTTGGGAAAGAAAATCGCCAATAGACGTGTAATCACATGAGTGTCAGAGTGAATGCGTGAATATCATCAACAATACAAATTAATACAAATGTCAGAATCATAAACCAAAAATATCACTCTCGTTATAGGACATGGTGTATCACTGTTGCACTTCCGTTGTAATCATATCATTTTTACTGCTACGCACGGTAATGTTAATTAACATATAATTAGCTTTCTAACATCAGTGAGAAAGTACAAGCAGAAATCAATCACCTATTATTGTTTTTTATCTTCATTTGATTCAAGATGTCCGTCTGGTCAACGGGTCCGCTCCAAACGAAGGTCGCGTCGAAATACGGCACACGGGCTCCTCCAATTGGTCAACAGTTTGCGGAACTTACTGGGATATTATCGACGTCATAGTCACGTGTCGACAGCTAGGCTTCCCAGGGGCCCATGCGTCTCTCAAGAGGTCAGAGTTCGGGCGAGGAGTAGGAAGGATATCGAGGACACTACTCTTTTGTCGAGGTGGTAGGTAAACGTTTGACCTATATTAAAATAGATCCGGTCATTAAAAATGTTCTCACGTTCACGGAAACAAGTGATTCTCCCTTATGAGATGTATAAACAACACTACTACAGCGAGAATCTTAGCAAAATAAAGACATCCATGACATTAGGTTTAGTCATATGATTCAAAAGATTCAAGTCACATTTGATTATTTCTTGTAACTGTGTAATAAGTTGATGTAGTAGATTTGTAACGGAAAGAGATATTTTTAATCTAGAAATTATGGTAAGCCTAAATAAATTATTGATGTTCTCGTAAACATAATGATCATGCAGATCCGCAGATACTAATACCACCTGCCTATACCAGCCAAAAAGAGAAAATCATTCAGTCATTTCCAATATTTAAAGAAGAAAACCCCATGAATCTTGACAATGTAGTTCATTTGTTTTGTTATAACGTTGTTTATTTTGATTTGTTTGTTTTTGTTGGGGTAGGTGAAAAAAGTTTGAACGCGTGTTCAAAGTCAACATCACTCATCTGCAGAGACGGACTGACGGCTGGTGCCGTTTGCCAAGGTATGAAAAGAAATATGGTGATGATCAACATCATCAACTTTATCATCCTTATCATTGTCATCCTAATCATTATCATCATCTTCCTTTGTATTAGTAGTAGTAGTAGTAGTAGTAGTAGTAGTAGTAGTAGTAGTAGTAGTAGTAGTAGTAGTAGTAGTAGTAGTTGTAGTAGTAGTAGTAGTAGTAGTAGTAGTAGTAGTAGTAGTAGTAGTAGTAGTAGAAGTAGTAGTAGTAGTAGTAGTAGTAGTAGTAGTAGTAGTAGTTGTAGTAGTAGTAGTAGTAGTAGTAGTAGTAGTAGTAGTAGTAGTAGTAGTTGTAGTAGTAGTAGTAGTAGTAGTAGTAGTAGTAGTAGTAGTAGTTGTAGTAGTTGTAGTAGTAGTAGTAGTAGTAGTTGTAGTAGTAGTAGTGGTAGTAGTAGTAGTAGTAGTAGTAGTAGTAGTTGTAGTAGTAGTAGTAGTAGTAGTAAATAGTAGTAGTAGTAGTAGTAATAGTAGTAGAATTATTATTATTAGTAGTAGTATGATAGTAGAAGTAGTAGTAGTAGTAGTAGTAGGAGTAGTAATAGTAGCAATAGTAGTAGTAGGCTAGTAGGCTAGTAGTAGTAGTAGTAGTAGTAGTAGTAATAGTATGCTAGTAGAAGTAGTAGTAGTAGTAGTCGTAGTAGTTGTAGTAGTAGTCGTAGTAGTAGTAGTAGTAGTAGTAGTAGTAGTAGTAGTAGTAGTAGTAGTAGTAGTAGTAGTAGTAGTAGTAATATGTTTTAGCACATTTTCCATAATTGTTTGAATTCGCTTCAATCGTTTAATGGGTTTTAAATGTATTAATGGAATGAATGAGATTTGAGTTAAATTGACATTGTGATGACAGTGTCTTTTGTTTCTACTTCATATATTCAGAATGATCACTTATTCAACTCATCCCATCACTTTACCTCCATGCTCCCTCCCCTCTCCCTGCTCCACGAAGCCATCTGCGCTTACCGGCATTTAAATCATACCCACATGTATGCATGTTAACACGTATAGTTAAATAAGCTTTGAAGCTCCCGATGATCCAATATCAACAAACTTGGCTCAATAAATCCGAAATGGATATAAAACATTCCATCATCACAATCCTATCCCGAATGCCATCATAAATCGGTTATTTTAGCAAGCTACCGGGATAATAGCTTCCTTTTCCCGGGTGAGTGAGGCTTATTAAGCTGTCCTTAACAATTGCAGGAAATTATTGATATATCAATCGCAGATGTGACAACGAGATTATTTCAGTTCGGAACTGAATTCAGTCTCGGTTTTGCATGATATAAAGTATAGGGTAAGGACTAGGGAAGTAGGTTTTAAACGTAACATGGAAAAGAGGCCCTGTCTAGTCATTCTGATAGTAGATGGATCAGTGCAATGTTGAATGAAATGTGAAAGGGGTACAACTGTCTCTAAAACACCTTCAAGTTACAAGCTTATTCATATATGTAAACTTTGATAAGCAAACATGGATTGATATCCCAAATCTTTAGATCAGGGTTCTGTTTTATAAAGACTTTCGATTGTATCAAATCAATCGCAACTTGACATGAATCTCAAATGCGTACTTATGAAATAGGCCTTGCGATTAATTTCAGGTTGCGATTGATCCGAATCGATCGTAAATTGTCACAAGAGGGGCCAAAAATGAATTGCTTACAAAGGAGCTGAAAAAATATTGCACACATGAAATATATGTAATACAAACGGACTGTCTCGTTATTAAAGACATGGAGAAATATAATCTTAGATGCGCTACGAACATGATGAATTTATCAAGTGGATTGGTCTTGAAAATTACTTAGGCGGTTAAGCAACGAGGTACCTCAAAAACTTGTGTTTAATTCATTGTGAGGGTTGTATTGTTTGCAATTCGATTTTATTGACATGTTTCACTTTCTCCCTTCATGTATTTACCTTGTGCGTGGCATCCATTATAACTTGCAAGAGCAAAGCGTAGTCTTCAATTGTTGTGTTAATTTTATAACAGCTAAAATGAAATACGATTTTAAAATTGAAACAAAGCTAAATTAGATTCAAGATCCAAAATCAATAGATTTTTTTTAAAAAACTACTATTTATCACTAGACCTTTTGGGGAATCCACCATCGTACGTCCTTCAGTGTGTTTCCTGGTCCCTTGTGACTTATTAGAAGTAGAGTAGAAGTAATGTAAAATACATGAAATGTGTGTATTTATAGACATGTGACGATTATGTGAGTGAACATCCCGTTTCCCGCATCCTGACCTTTCATTGTAACCCCTATTATAATTATATCAAGATGATTTTGTTTGTTCTCATCTGAGGGGGTAGATGTGCACCTTTGGTGAGGGGGTGAATCACTTCGACAGTGAATCACCGTAGCGGGATGTTTCCTCTACCTAATTAATTGCCACTGACAGTTTCAGTGTGTACATTGTGTCTGCGAGTAACGAAATAGTCTGTCTGGGCATTTGTACTGGTTTTAGAACAAGGAACATGATCTAAAATACTTACGAAACCTAAAGTCAAGGGCATTTTCAATACCCTTTAGACATCATGTTCAGAATACCGCAATGCGTACGTCATCGTGGTCAATGTCACGTTCGCACATTCCAACAGGTGATAGACAAGGCTATTGCATTTGCACTAGGTTGATTTTTCGAAATGCTTTGCGATCATGTTCTGGAAATCAAGATTTTTTTTTTGGCAATACTAGCGTCCACAATAGCCAACAATAGACTATGTTTTTGGATTCCTTTACAACCGATCTGCCGTGTATAGGTCTTTATTTCGGTTTACTTTTTATCATCAATGGGGTAGGAAGATGTTCCCGTTTCTGAGTAAGAATTTTTCGTTAAAACTGAACTGTGCCAGATAAGTCCAGATAAATTGTTTGTTTGAAAAAAATGTATCTCATCGCTGCCATCGTTATACAAATATTGGTCTTTTTTTTTTTTTTTGTATGTCCTTATGGTGCAGATGTTTTATGTAACCATCAAGAACTAACATTCTTTCAATTTTCTGATTTATTTTTATTGTTCTCAGAACCAGGCTACCTTGGTTGCTATGGCGACAAGACCCACGCACGAGCACTTGCAGACTTGGTCTACATCAGCAGGAACATGACAGTGATGCTGTGTATCAACCATTGTCGCGACCGGGGTTATCCTTATGCAGGGTTGGAGTACGGTGAAGAGTGCTACTGTGGAGCCGCGGGATCGAGTTACTCCCTCTACGGACGGTATTGGGATTCGGCCTGCCAGCATCCATGTACTGGGTATTCGAATGAGAGATGCGGAGGGATAGGACGAATTGCAGTTTATATAAGTGAGTGACATACCATTCAATTATATTAAGTTCTTTTTCAACCTACACCTACTTTAGATGACTTATATCCGATTTTGAAAATATCGACAATGCCAGTCCCGTTTATTTAATCAATTCAATACCTTTTGTTTGGACTTTTGTTCTTATTATTACAATTAACCTGAGGGTTTCGGGAAGGCAGGGTGACTTATTTCCGTCTTGAATTAGCATGACGAGTTCTATCACCATACTTTCAAAGTGTATCTTTGAACGTTATTGCTCTGTTAAACGGAATTGGTAATACCGAGTGATATCAACTGAAACTGCTTTCATAACTAGTAAAAAATCCTCCAGATTTAGGCTCTAGAAAGTAGTAATAATGATTTGACTAATCTATGGTCACTCTTAAGTGGAAATGGAATTTCTGTAAAGTCATGAAGTTGTTTTAATGCAACACAAACGTTGTATTGTACATATATCGTCGTTTTGAAGGTAGAAGGGCATTCATTCTTGTTAAAGTTAAAGTTCACTCTCAAACAGACGATATAATAATAATACATGCATTTGTTTTGAAGGTATAAATAATTATGCAATTCTGTTTATTACGACTTCATCTCTCTTTATTTTGTTTGTTTGCTCATTTATCAGCAAATGCAACAGAAACGGTAGATACAACAACGTTGCCACCACCAGTGTCAAATACTACTTTATCGATAAATACCATGACAACACTATCAATTTTTCCGAAAACAACGAAGACGAAAAGAAGCAACGAGACATCATATCTTACGACTAGAACACCAGACGTACAGACAAAGATGATCAACGGAACCAATTTTAATGCACATACATCCAGTAAGTACTCGATTCTGATTGGACAAGAGTTGTGAGCAAGAGTAAATGAAGTCAGTAGTGACCAATCATGACCCTTTTTATAGAAAAGTTGGACTTGCATTCAAACATGACTTCGTAATTGCAAATTATTTGGAAGGTATCATGAAACTAGTGGGTCAATAATAAACAGAATTGGGAGACAAAATATTATGAAAAATGTCATTATATTTAGATCATGTTGCAAAGAAACATTGTAGTGAAGCAATTGAAGAAATATTTAACTAAAAAATTGGCCTTGTCTTTGATGTTTCCAATTATTTAACTATTTCATATAATTTAATGTTAAGAAATAGGGTAATGAATACAATAGAAAAAAAGAAATACAAATATTTTTTTTAAAGGTAGCACCTTTTTTCCCCCGGTTAAATATATGTTTGTCCGTCGGTGATTTAATCCACTAATTACAGAGCAAAGTCGTACTCAGTCTACATACCAACCTAATTAGAACTTGGTATTTCCCCTACTGACGATCAAAATAGAAGCCTTTGTTTTATGGCTTCCAGACAATCTCAGATGCCCCGTTTATATATATACATATTAGTAGTTCCGTTTGTGCCATTAAATTCCCGTTACTGCCGTTATATACAATGATGTATAAAATGTAAGATGAATATCAAAGCTTGTTCTCCGGCTTGTTCAGTGATGATATCCGCAATTAATTAGCACTCTGAACGTGATCATGGGAAGCTTACGTACGTCCTCCAGGCGGGCGACCCCTTGTAGAATGCTTGCTGAATGGACACATGGCCCTTTTTAAAGAGTAGAATGTAACATTATGAAACATTATGATATAGTTATGATGTTTGTTTTGGAATACCACCAACAAGTAGATAAGATTGAAGGAGAGTTTGATTTTTGCAAACTGGGCCCCATTTCACAAAAATAGTCATCAATGATAAATGACAGCTTTTGTTATAAGCTAGTGAAATCCTTGCTTCTGATTGGATATCAGCAGATTTGTCACATATTTCTGTCGTTTGTCATTGACGAAAGGCTTTGTGAAACGGGTACCTGGTGTGTGAACTCATCCCCATTCAGCCACTGTTTACTTCTCGAACATGTGTCTAATTAAAATGTATGTGATGAAATGAGATGTAGTTTCTGAAAAATTTAATAAAACTAAATAAAACTTTCGTATGAGAATAAACATCATCAAATTAATCATGAATAATGACATATTGCAAGATCAGAGTCAAATGAGAATCATACAATTTCCTGAGAAGAAAGGAAATTACACAAAGTTAACTTTTTTATATTAGTTTTTCAAAAGAGTTATGATTAGTGGTGTTCCTACTCGATTCATGCGAGTGTAGTTTTGCATGTGATATCCCAACTGCCTTAACATTATTGACGGCGTACATGCTTCAGCTTTTATCATTTTCTTTCTCTCTTTACTCACTTTAGATGATGAAATGAAATACTTAGCCGTCATAATGGGAAGTCTCCTGACAGTCGGAATTGTCGTTATTTCATTTATTCTCGTCTGGAATTTTAAACTAAGGTAAGGAACAATTCCATTCAACTGTATAGGAAGGCGATATTCTTTGATTGAATGAAAATTACTACTATTAGCCAATTACGTCAGCAAGGAGATTACGTTCTATTTATAGAGCTAATTGGCAAAAAAAACATACCAAGTTTCCTTCGAAGTTTTTTTCATTTTTGTTGGTAGACAAAAAAAAATAAAATCTGGCAGCGTTTGAATGACAACGGAGACATAATAACGCTATGTCATAACAAATATTTGTTTTTACCTGCTTACTGTTTTCATCTACGTAGTTTTTTTTTTTTCTTCTCTTGGACTACATAATATGCCAAGTATAGAAGGTAGTAGTAAATACGACATTACTACGAAAGTAATTGTTTCTAAAAATAAATCATGATGTTATATGAATTGACGTCATATATCAATTATGCCAATTCGAAACAAGTATCGAGTTCCTTTTTCTTTAATCGTGACCATAAATTACATAATATCTGGCTAAACCTTCTTTTTTCTGTTGATTGTGTCCTTGTCTAGATCCCGGATGCGAGCTATCCAGGACAGCCCACTAAACTCGACCGATCGAGGAAACAACTCGTCCTACGACCAAGAAGATAAAAAAGTCCAGCTCGTCTACTCCGATCTCCTCACGACCGATCTGACCAATAACCATTACGAATCATTAATTACTTCCGGGGCAGTTGAAGAGGAACCGCCCGTTGTGGCGAGGTCCAGTGAACCGGTGGTCGCAGTGGATAAAAGACCGAGAAGACACACAAGTATACAACCTAGGATTCCGACCTATTTTCCTCAGCCGGATTTATATGAAAATTATAGATATTCCTACATGCAATGATAGATATGATGGTGTATTATAAACACTTTGATTACTAAACATTCTGAAATTCATTCTAAGAGGAAATCCTGTATTATGTGAAAGTGTAAAGTATTAACCACGTTGTATTTTTAGATTTGCAATATAATGTACATCAAACATATTTTGTAAACTTATGAACATTTATATCTCTTTTTTACCATTATATTTGTGGGAAATAGATTCTTAGAAATCCCTTGTAACATTACCATAATCATTTAAGACATGCAGCACAATAAATGTAGCCGTAAACGTTTACAATGTTTGAGGAACCGTAATGTTCTGTTTCATTTATGGTTACCAAACAGTTTATTCTACTTCTTCTTGTATATCTAATTTTGCGCGAGTTTCGCTTGTTTAACCTCTCTCTCTCTCCCTCGATTCTCTCTCTCTCTCCCTCTCTCTCTCTCTCTCTCTCTCTCTCTCTCTCTCTCTCCCTCTCATTCTCTTGTTCTCTCACTCATTCTTCTTTTTCAATCTTACTTTCTTAATTTATTTTTTGTTTTGTTTCTTCCATTCTTTATCGTTTGCTTTCTTTCTTCCTTCCTTTGTCAATGTTTGTGTTTGTTCCTCATGCTGTAGTGAGGAAAGAGGTTGAGGGGGGGGGGGCATTCTTACAACATTTTGGTAAACTGTGTAGTACCAAGACTGTCGTTTGATCTAACTGCAGTGTGTCAATCTTACTTGCTCTCTACCCTAATTAGTTATGTTGTGTTCTCTTGTCGTCTTAAAATACCACATAAATAAGTAGATATCTCCTTGCCTACTTCAAAGCTTTTGAATGAGCCTGTACTATGGTAATACAGAGTCATGTTACAGTCGTAAACAGTTTTCTCAATACTCCTGGACAAATATAGAAGTTTAGTCAAAGTCACCAGTGTATCTTTACAAAACTGCAAGATCCCTGGAATCCTTACATGACTATCACATGCCTCATTCCTCCAAGAAGTCGATGGATTATAGTATTTGCCACAAGGCAATATTTCTTGTAATCGCCCTCACCCAATGTCCTCCAGCGTGATTAGGAGTTATACCCTCATTACTCATACAAATTGCGTTGAGTATAAATCATGCAAATATATATATATGATATTTGTATCCGATGATAAGTACACGTATTGACATTGTACGACGCAATACATGATGAAGAAGAGCAAAATCCAGCAGTTTTTTATATTTATTATTATTATTATTATTATTATTATTATTGTTATCATCATTAGTATTATTATTACAATTATTGTTGTTATTATTGTCATTATTTTTGTTACAACCCTCATTTGTGTAAGAATGTTAATATATATATATCATATAAATTACCTTGATTTATAAAGGTTGACTATCCATTTTTTATAATTACTCAGTGTTTATGAAAATTACATATTAGTCAACACGCCGATCGCAAAGACTTTCGACAACATCAAAAATCAGCGTAAGACAATATCAATAACCTTGCCATTGGAACGTACGAATGTGGCAATGACGTATTTACATGATTTCCAAGGAATATACTATAAGGGATTGAATTTGCTCCGACTTTGTTTTTGTTAAGTCTTTGTGATCGTGTATAATTACAGTGACATTCAATAGACCAGACTTAGTATATATGACTACACAGTACACACGTATGCAGCATGAACATTTAGTCAAAAGGTTTAAAGATAAGCTTAAGTTCTGGTTAAAAAAAACAGAAAATAAATTCTCCCCAAATCAAACGAAACCTACACTGAATGTTCAAGATTACAAATGAATGTCATTTCCCAAACAATTTTGGTAGAAAATGTATATGGCTGAGTAATGAGCATATAAAGATAAGGAAATCAAGGTGTCGGGCCCCGACACCATTTGTGTAGTCCCATATACATCTTTCTGTGTACAGTGCTTGTTACTTTACCAGGACTGGGCCAAATTTATTATGATTTTGATGACTCCAGAACTTTGCAGTACACACCAATACTTACACGCTGCATGATCAACTTTTTCTGATCCATTCCACACCTTTTCTTTCACGATGCAATCGCATGATTAGAACTCAACTTTATCTTTAAACCATGTATTTGTCATACTGAACATACCATTGGCAAGTCACTGTGCATTATATTAATGTGCCATTACTCCGATGATCATCTGGTATGTTTCTACTTAAGAAATAAATAAAGAATATGAGTGAGAAAGCTCTCAAGTTATTGTTCATTTTTACCAGAAACCTCCTCGCTAACTTTCAGTCAGTGTTTATTTGCTCTCACGAACACATCACTGTATCTTATAATCCTGATGATTCACGCGGTAACCCTTTAAGATGGTAACTAAATCTCGACACAGGATGCTTCCAAGGTTGTGTACTTGTTCAAATCAATATTTAAGTTTTAATCGTGTTCATGAAGTTGCTTAATTGTAATAATATCTTGATCCCTTCGACAAGGTGACTGTTTTGACCCTCAGGTTTATTGACACGTATACACTATGCATATTGAAACATGAAAGATTTTTAGGGGGAGGGGGCTAAATTCCAAAGAAAATCATACAAAAAGGGCCTATTACAATTTCTTATATGCTGATTTACCACCCAAACTATCTATCAATCACATGTTTAGAGTATTATCGCAGGCCTAACTATTTTAGGGGCACTTTGTGTGTGTGTATGTGTGCTCGAACTCAACGGTATACAGCCGGGTTTGTTAAAGAGAAAAGGGCCAATTGCGCACCCCCGCCACCCCCCCCCCCCCCTATCCCCGCCTTCCAATTGTGTCACTGCACTTAGATCCACGCACGTAATTCAAGATAGTTGCACCACTTTACCATTAATTTACAGAAATTATTTGAAAATGTTAAAATTACGTGCGTATTAAAGGGGAACCCCATCCCCCCCCCCCCCCCACCCCCACCCCCTCTCATTCCCAGTGCCATATATGTCCACGGCAAACAAAATACCCCTTAGTCAACTTTAGGAATTAAGCCCCTCCATTTTCAAGTTTCTGGATCCGTACCTGTTCGAAAAGGCAATGTTTGATGACAGGAACATCAAATCGGTTATCTTGTAGCGAACGATATCGAAGGATGTGAATGAAATTATGTGTATGCATATTGAATTCATATTATTGAATTTTCGAATGATTTAAAAAGAATGATATTGTACGTGTACGTCTACCTATGCATAATGTATTTATCAAACATCCGATGAAATAGATTCGTGTGTAAAAGAAACTCTAACCTGTCTTCTTTGTCATATTTTAGTGACTCTTCGCATTTGTATGTACGGTGAGAAACGCCCACCAAGAGATTTCATGTGTATGATTAGAAAGCCGACCAAAGCTGGGAAATAGTTTAAGCGCGAATATTTGGCAAAGACACTGCATGTGCGGTTTTGAGAGGAAAAACAAAACATGAATATCAGGCAGGTGGATGGTTCGTAATAGCTAAACCATTTAACACATTTAAAGCTAGAATCGCTGTACGAATGATTTTTAGGACAAACATTTTTCGGAAAGAGGTGGGTCAACAGGAACTGTTTAATTGGTCGAAGAAACTGACTGTTTTTATGAAGAATATGATATTGTCCCGTTATTGTGGTAGCATTTGAAATAAATAAATGAAAACAACTTTTCTTAGCGGACTTTAGATTGGTATGATGGGAGAGGTTTTGACCAGGGGGATGTATTTGACAAAATTTGTCTTGAAATACGAGCCAATACGAATATCAATTATAGGCAAAATTAAGCGCATGGGTAAGTCTTTTCATATCGAACCAACAAAATAAGAAGGAGCGTGATTTGACATGGATGACACTTTGCTCGTCTCTCAAATTAGTATCGGTATGGTTGGGCTCCCACTTCCCGGCTCAAAGCATATATACGAAGAGTTTAGCCTACCTGGTTTCACTTGGTCACAACATGGCGTCCAACATTTTGTTTTGTGCTTGCCCAACAAAGCATTATTCACCCTATTGTGCCCAATTCGAGCCGGGTTGGCCAACCTCTCCTAATCAATGTCACAGGGATAAGTAAATGTATAGCGCCATCTTATGGTTTTAATCGTGGACTCATAAACTAACTGTAAGTTTATAAGCATATAAATTGTTTACTGCTTTAAATCATAAACAACAAAAAACGTTAACAAGCCAAGATAACTTCACTTATTCATGGCATAGCCAGCTTTCACTGTTGTTCACTGAAGTAGGAACATAAAGAATCAGGTAGGATGAAAGCTAGTCTAAAGAATGAGGAGTGGACGTTAACATGTAGAAGAAGCTAGAAGAAGAAGAACAGGAAGAAGAAGAAGAAGAAGAAGAAGAAGAAGAAGAAGAAGAAGAAGAAGAAGAAGAAGAAGAAGAAGAAAAAGGAGGAGAAGAAGAAAAAGAAGAAGAAGACACACAAACAAGGAAGAAAGAGAAGGAGCATGGGGAGCAGGAGAAAATGAAGAGGACGAAGAAAAAGAAGAGGAAGAAGGGAGAAGGAGGAGAAGATGTAGAAAAGGGAAAAGGAAGAAGCGGAAGGGGTAAAAGGAAAGAGGAACAAAGAACAAATGGAGAATGAGAAGATGAAGTGATACATGAACAAAATATTAACGATAATCATTTTCTAAAGTTAATAGGCGATAATGCTGATGGTAAAACAAGATAGAACCATGAAATGAAGCGAACTTATTGTAAAGCCGTCCTACTTCTTAAAGATGTCAGATGCAAGTAATTATCCCTCGGAGGATCTTCCTTAATTGCTATCACTTTGCGGGGGGTGAAAGTGATGAGGTAACAATGGGTGGCTGCTTTTAGTTTCGTATTCAACTCCGGGATGTCGGATGGTATCTAATATTAAGATGTGTTTCACACTCGACTGACATCTTGTCCTGACTAGAAACACGTGTGCATTGTATGTCAGCCACATGCTACCACTCAGACACTTGGCAAGATGATGGGGAGAGAGAAGATCAAGAACGCGGAGAGGTACTGTGACACTGGCTCCGGCGACAACAGCTCCTTGGTTCGATTGGTAAACACAGTTCGAGCGTTGGTCAAACGTTACACTCAACATCAACCTGAACACAACTCTCTCTCTTTTTTTCTCTTTTTCTCTGTCTCTATCTCTCTCTCTCTCTCTCTCTCTCTCTCTCTTTCTTTCTCTTTATCTTTGTATGTCTCTCTCCAGTGCCTCTCCCTCTCTATCTCCCTCTCTATCTCTTTACCTTTCTCTCTCTCTCTCTCTCTCTCTCTCTCTCTCTATCTCTCCCTCTCTCTTTCTTTCTCTCTCGCTCTCTCTCTCTCTCTCTCTCTCTCTGTCTCTCTCTCTCTCTCTCTCAGGTTATTGATATTTCTTTTCGTCGCTTTTGTTCGTATCTCTTTGCGATCGTGCTGGTCGATTTTAGTTTAGCTACTTGGTGTGACTGGA